GATCCACCTCATACTGAATTTCACTTTACAGTGAATATTATAATTGTGAAGTTCTGGTAAGTCTTTCAAACAGAATCATTAAAGTTTCAGTTCCCAAAACCAAATTTTTAGAGTTGAAAAGTAAACCGAGGTCAAATTTAGACATATTGTTTAGAATTAGCAGTGCTAGACAAAAGCTCTGATTTTAAGAGGTCTGAAACGCCTAACTCAGGCAGTGTATTTTCATGTCTAGAGATACTAGCATGCTCTACTTTTAAGATTATGACACACCAACTTATTTTGAAATTTTTAACTCTTCCACTGTGCATGTTTCAAGTATTTCATGACTATCACTGATAATTGAGCAATTAACTTGAAATTACCAAATGTGCTGTGATGGCACAATATGAAGTAAGCGTTACGAAGGAATAAAGAACAGAGGAACTTAGTATAGTGAGAAAAGTAATAAAGAGTAAAGTAGACCTTACTAATAATAATAATACTGAGTAAGTTTTAATGGTCCCAGGTCTCAGTGGTTTAATGGTGCCAGTAAAATGGTTTAATGAAACAAGTCCAGAGTATTACAAACTTTTTGCAGCAATTTTTTTTCTGGGCCTACAAAAAAGGAAGCTTCTCTCTCACTGATCTTGTGTAACACACAGGGTTTGGTCCAAAACGTAAGTGTGGGAGTTTCATTAAACAGACACAAAATAACAGGCAGATTCTCTAAATGTACAAGCTTGCAAAAATTAGACATAAAATTTCCCTTTAAATGTAAGACAGACAAAGCAAAAGCACTAAAGTTGCCCCAAAGAAGGTATCAAGCTATTATGAATATATTTGTAAAGCAAAAATTGAAAAGCATGTCTTGACATCAAGAGGAGGGATGAAACTAGGAAAACTAGAATGCCTCTTTAATGTTCATTCTATCAAGTTCTTACATACTGCACTTTTCTGGCTAAACCCATAGTGTGACCATAGTATTTTTTTAGTACTTAAGTAAAACCAGGAAACAAATCCCATAAGCCTAAATCCTACCTTATTTCAGTGGCAGGGCACCTTAAAGGTTTGCAAGAAAAACCAACAATTTAGAAAGTCAGAGAGAAAAAAGAGATTCAGTATTACAACAAGTAAAAGATAACTATTAAAACATTTTTCCTCAAAATCACATCCATATTACTCTAAAACATTACTAGGACATTAAAAATAAGCCAGGTTATCTTTTCAGGTATAAATTAGAAACAGAAAGTGGAGTGAGCAGAAAGAATAAGTATCTAAGGGCAGTAGTATATAAAACTTAAAAGCTTAAAATGTAATGGATAATCACATTCAGATTAGCAAACTGCTTTCAATTAAAGTAGATTTCTGGCCACAGTTCACAAATGTATAGTAGCTGTGTGTATTAATGTAGATACTTCAAATGTCAGTATATCTCTAATTAACATGAGCACACAACTTTAAAACTGAGAAGGTACAATTTTAAATTCCTTACATTCCCAGCATTAATGCTTTCATGGGGCAGCTCCCGTTGTCATGGAAAATGGCATTCAAGCCCTATTTGTGGATTTTCACAGCTCATCTTTTTTATTTACCTGCTCTATGTCAAGATTAGCCTAGAATAATATTTTTTAAAGATAATGCACTTAGACCTACTTGTCCTTAAAATCACAGATGTTCTCACTGAGGGAGCTTTGGTCTGAGCTATGCTGAGTTTCATTTTAAAATACCACAGAGATAAATTTGTGATTCTTTTTATTTGTTTCCTAAAATTCTACGCAATTCAAAAAATTTAAGCTGAAGCAAGATGTGTGGAAGTTTTTAAATAGAGGATAGAAAAATGCCAGGGAGGAGCCAATGATGCAAGAACATGAGGAAATGAAGTGGTAGAAGGCTCTCTGCAATCTCCTCCCTGACTTATTCTGCCTTAACTTTTTAAAAATATTTGTACAGCAACCAGGTGGCTGTTGAGATAGTAATCAAAAACAATAAAAGGAAGACTGCTAAGATTCCCTCTAAGAAAGGACAACATAGGATGTTATGGAAAAAGCACTGAATTTATACCATGAATTTTTAGGTTTGAGTCCTGTTACTCTGTAAAAATAAGAGGGTAATTCCTACCTATCTCACAGAGCTTTATGACATTCAGCTAAGTTAATGTCTGCAAAAGCAAGTGTTATATCAAATTAAGAGACTGTTACCATTGTTGCCTCAAGCATGGGACTAAGCAATAACCACTTTTTGTACATGATAATAAAACACTGGCCAAGACCTCAGGGGAAAAAAGGGTTGCTATTAGAAATCATGCAAGAACAGAGACAAAATTTTATAAAAGGGAATTCATTATCAAATTACTAACAAGGCTTGGATAACCTGAAAAACTAAAATACCTAATGATCTATCTCTTTTTTTTTAACCAATAATTCATTGCCCTAGTAAAATTTGAAGGCAGAATTACATAATTTTTTAATTAGAGATAAAAAATTAATTATGGGATATTAACATGCAAATAAGGACTTTTAAACAATGCCTATCTGGAAGAGGGGTTGGAAAACAGTAGTTTTGTTTTGTTTTTGTTTTTTTTAAGAAGCAAAAAAAGAAAAGAAAAGAACCTGAATAATGTTTCTGAGCTTCTGAAAAAAATAACCATTTTCCCGTACAGTGCTTTGCTCTTCTGACCTAAGCAGTAGATGTAAGGAGGTAAGATTCCAATCGATTCTCACACACCCCTTGGTGTGGCCCATTTATTATGGATGTGCAAAACAATATCCCAGCTTCTTTATCTCACAGACCAGCTTCTGCACACCTTAAGAAGAAACCTCCCCATGGCTGTGAGGTATAACTTTCTGCCTTAGATCATGTAGCAAATAGGCAGTTTCAGGACATTGAAATTACAGTTCCTAAAAGAACCGAATTGCCACTGACCCTATTTTCTTGCTTTTAGGCCAAACAACATCAATATTTCTATTGCTGTATGGTTATCTTTATATTCAGTAATGTGATGGACAATTTCCACAATAAATGAAAGAAATGGGAACACATTCATACTGCACATGTCATGTGAATTTTATCTGACTTAAGATTTAGTGATAGAATCTGGCTATATTTCTTTAGTAAGAAGGTTCAACAGTCAAGAGATGGCTCTAATAGTGCTTGAGACCGCTGACCAAAGGAATAATGCAATCCAAAACCTAAACTAGCATATGAAAATCTTCAAAGCTAGAAAACACTTATGATTAGCATGACTTCTGCTTAAGTGATCAAATCTGACTACAGCTATTCTGGGGTTTTTTGTTGTTGTTGTTGTTGTTTTAAAGTTGAACTATACCCACAGTGCCCATTCACTTTTAGCCTCTTTGTTAGGTAACAAGAAAAATCTCAGCTAATTGGATCACCTCTATTGGAGGAGGGTAGGGAAGGGATGGGACAGATGAGGGCATAAGAATTCAGGAAACAGGCTCTGGTGAAGAAAAATGTGAACTTCATCTTAATGAAGGCCATATTGGTTAAAAATACTTGCAAGTGTATTGTATTTATAATTTAAAAAGTGTCCTCAACCTAAAAACTGTAAAACTGAATGATGAAAAAAGAGATGGAAAATAAAAGAAAGGGCAAAGCAACCAAAAATAAGATTTGGACAACTTAAAATTATTTTCTTGCACTCAAATTTCTAATAGGATTAAATTCAGCATCTTGGAATCATTCTTCACAAGAGTCCTTCAAATACTTTACATTTTTGCTCCATCTTCTTTGCCTCCTACTTCTCACTATGATACCTTGCACAAATTAAAAGTTTACAGTTAATCCCAGTGAACCATGCAGTTCAATACTTTATGTTTTACATTAGAATTAAGATTTCAAATAATAAAATGTGATTTTATTATAAAATATAAGTTGGATAATTTCACAAAGCTAATTCATTACTAAAGCATTACAGTTTGTAAGTATAATCAACTTATTAAACCTTCACATTTACTTTTTAAAGGTTGGCTTAAAATTCCTGCCCCAATCAATGCTGTTACCAAAATAAAGGTAAAACTGGCTTGAAATAATTTTGCACTGCTTATACTGTGATTCACAAAAACCCTACCTTGAAATTTTTTCAAGTACTTTCCTAGAAGCACATCCTCTAAAATTTCTTTAAAGAAATACACTAACAGAGCCAAGTTTCCTATGTCTGTTATCAAATGTATAAGAGCCTTTTAGATGCCAACACATTACACATATAAATATTTACTAGACTCAAGTTAGTTAAATATGGCTTTATATACACAAAGACTTCTTAATGCCTGTCACCTACTCTAAACTACTTCTATATTAACAAATATATGAAGTATTTTAATTGATCACTAAATTTCATTTACTTGCTTTTTGAAATTTACCACCTTTCCTGAGAAAAAGTATCTTTAGTGTCCAAAGTACCATTAAAATACAATAGTTAGTGTTTTGGGAGTGGTGAAGAAGGCAGGAATACTTCCATTCTGAAATACACTACACATTCACTGAATGAGTCTTTTGTTCCTTAGTATATAAATGTCCTCATGTACTGACAACCCTTTGAATTCTGTACCATTTCACATCTTTTCTAAGAGTGAGCAGAGGCATGCTGCATTTTCAATTCCAGAGAACCAGGAGGCTGTAAGAAGTTAGGATAAATTATTCATATAACTTAAATATGAATATATATAGTATAACACTTTTAAGGCAATTCCACAATTGAGCCCCATCTCCAAATTATCATTTCAGCTTTTTTTAATGGGCCTTGCTATTTTATTATTTCTCTGAAAAATCACAGTAAACTTAGACATTTTTCACCAGCATCACTCAGACATCAATGTATCGCTCGCAGATACAATGAAGTCTATATTTCCTACACTCCTCTTTAAAAACACTTGACAGAAACTAATAGAACTTTAAAACACACACAGAAAAAAAAACTTAAAAACACAAATGAGAGGAATTTAAGAACTTGTTTAAAAGTTTTTTAAAAATGGGTATGAAACAATAAATAAACCAATACTTACAAATATGCACAAAAAATCAGCCCCAGCACCCAGAAATCACTGGTAAATTGCCTTTGAATTCATGAAAGTAACCTGAAAATTTAAACAGAAAATGAAATTAAAAAGTGATAAGCAAGTTGCATACATGTATCTATTAGATAAGAATATATTGTGGCTACAAAATTTAATACTGCCAAATCAAGCAGATGACCCATCCACTCTAACAACTATTTCAAAATGGTAATACCCAAAGAAACAATTATCTCATTGTTCTACATCAAAGAAGATGCTATTTCTACCCCATATGGCTTTTTTTTTTAATTTAAGTGATAAAGTAGGTATAAATGTATCCATAAGTAAAAATAAAAGAGAGGGACAATTCAAAGGTTAATGAAGGCTTACACATTACATTTGTAAAACATGTCTAATTTATATCTGCAAGGTATAATGAATTAACTGAACAGAAAAAATCTTGGATGTGTTCAACAAGACTAACTTCTAGGTAGAATAAAAATGAAAGGATGCAGTTTTTGCTCTACTTAAGGTGTGGAACACATTAAAGTGCTTAGGCTATATACAATGCAATCTGTATGAGCCACAACTCAATCCAAAATTCTTTTGCTTTACACACTTTAGTTCTGGCTGAAGAAGTAACAGATGCACTCAAAATACACAGAGCTAGCCTTGTAAAATGTTGTAACTAGCACAATGAATCACTTTATGCCTTTAAATATCTATGGTTTCCTCTCTCCAGAAACCCCCTGCATTAGAAGGTAGTTTGATAGTTTATTTGTATTGTTTAGTCTAAATACAGCATATTTTTAGTTCCATGAGACAAAGACACTTTGTAGCAAGGTCCTGATTCCTTCCAAAATGTGAATATGGCTATGAGTAGTGTTCAGCTGAAAATAATAATGAAGCTTGAGTTCCTAATTTAGGTCAAAAATTTTCCTAGACTCTGGGGAAATACAGCCAGTAGACATCTAGGTTAGTTAACTAACTTAGTTAGCTAACTAGATTTAAATAAAATTCATCCTGGGAAAAAAAGTATCTTGATCAACATAATTTGTAGGAACCACTACTTCCAACATTGCATTTACAGCACAAATGGCCATAATAGGTAAGATATGAGCAATGAAATTAAGTTGAGATATGAGTGAATGTCTAACCTAGCCTTTCCCCATCTCCTATTATATGCTTTTGCCTAAGTGACCCGGATAATTTATTCTATTTTTGAGTCAGGATTGATAGATTTAAAAATCCTGAGCATTTGGACAGACTTAAGCATCAATGGCTAACAAACCCATTAAGCTTCTTCACTAGACCTCCTCCTCTTTGTAGAGAAAGTTGCCTCTGGCCTTCTCAACTCTCCAGTTCCTGCAAATCTTAATGCTTATTTCCATGGATTCAAGAGGTAGATGGGAAAGTTGGCAAGGGGAAATTATCTCTGTCATTTTTACTTTTTGATATTACACCCTTTTCCTCCTCATGGTCTTGTGATATATAAGGGTTCAAAAGAACAATTTTATCTGGGACACCATATACAAGAAAACACTTTGTATAATATTCAAACCCAGCCAGAATTACTTATTCTAATATAATATATGTAATAAAATGTACCACATTTTACCTTACCCTGTATTACAAATTATAACTTTGAAGTTATCCACAAAATAAACCTATAGCAGTGTTGTATATTCAAAAAGCCTACCCTATAAGAATTCAACAAATTTTTAAATATTTATGTATTATTATTATAATAGCCACGTGTTATCTTTCTAACAACTGTTCTTTTACTTTTTTAAGATTTATTTATTTATGTATATAAGAACTGGGGTACAGGCCAGAGGTGTGGGGGATGAGAGGATTCACCAGAGACAGAATGAGAAGCAGAACAGGCAGATGTACTGAATATACTGCTGAGGGTGTTGAACTGTGGGAAATGGAGGAGAGATCTGCTGTGCCATGTGGGTCACCTTCCTAGCCGGGAATCAAACTCATGCTGTGGTTGCCGCAGATAACTTCATAGTGCCACGCTTTAACCTACTGCGCCACCAGGGAGGGCCTAGCAACTCTTCTCTTGAAAACATGAAATGGAATTATGCAATATGTATGATATACTCCATTCCTTCATTTACATTGAAACAATGTTGGATAAAATAAAATGCACCCAGAACATACTGTGGCTAAACTATATCTCATTTTTTCAATCAATGAACCCTTTATAAGCTGAGATCTCTAAACCTGAAAATATTTAGAATTTGCAACAAGATTTCAGTATTATGAGAAAATTATATTTTAATAGACATCAACATGAAATCAATAGATCTCATATGTAGTTGTGCTTCATATGTTAAAAGCAATTCTGAATCTCTGATATATACTATTAGAAAGTATTGGAGTAAACAATTTTAAAAATATAAGCTCCTAAAATCAGAGGGTTCATTATAAAAAAAATATTTATTGCATTCTTTTCTCATGCAGAAAATGTAGGAATAAACAAGCAATATATTAGGAAGGGCAAAAGTCTAAAATTAACTCATAATAATTAACAACACAATATGAAATAACCTACTTCTTTTAGAACTAGAAAAGTTTAGGTTGAAAAAGACATTTCTCCAAAATAAACCTAGTCACACTGGTGCTGTGGGCAATACAAAAGCAAGCTGCTAAAGAAACACCAGAGCAAATCACAATATGTTTAGTACAATGAATCCTCAGAACACCAGACCACCCATGAAGCCATGGCCCATCCCACAGTCCATTCCAGTACACTGCTTGCTCATCACTCATTTAGCAGGTAGTGAGTGACCATGGGTTAGAGACTGCACTAGCCAGTAGAGACATGAAAAACATTTTTTAATTAAATCATTATACTGTGTTCCTAAAAACTAATACATTATTATATATTATTATATCTCAATTAAAAATAAATAATTAAAAAAATAAAATTATGACCTTTCTCTTCAAGGATTTTTCAATCAGCAACCAATCAGGGCACCAGACTATTACATGTAACTATGGTGTAACATACGCTATATTATTTGGTCATCAAATCTTTTACACATCCTTAATTTACTAACTAAAAGCAAACTGCTACAAACACCTGAATTTTAAAATTGCACAAAGAAAACCAATGTTACTACAATAATATTAAATAAGTGAATAAAAATTAAAATGTAAAAAAAAGACTACCTGGAGAATGCACAAATAAAAAAGTATAAATGTCTAATAATGTAAAAAATATTCCTACAATATTGAAGAAATACTTTATAAACTGGACAGAAAGTAGTTTTTGTGAATATATAAAAAAACTACATTTTCATTTACCAGTAATTATAAATTGGGTACTGTCTGATAACATAATGAATCAGGTACAACATTTGTAAATGGTAAGTTGACAGTGTTATTATAATTTTCAATATCAATATCCTTTGATTTTGCAATTGCTATTTCAAAATTTTATTCTAAGGAGCTAAAAAATATTAAAAGATAAATATGTGTAATATGTGTGTGCATTTTAAAATAATCAAAAATTGGAAATATCCTACTAACTGCATAATTATGGTATATACATTTACCATTACTACATAATCATTAAAAACTGTAACAAAATCTGTATTTACTGATACAAAAAAGACTACAATATTTTTTAAAGAATGTAACATGAAAGAATCAATCAATTTACAAAAAAATAGTCTACATATACACATGCAAATCTAACAAGTACAATATAACAAAAATGGTAGCATTGAATAAGAAAGTTATTTTTACTTTCTTACTTTTACAAGTTGATGTTATTTAGATTTTTTAAAAGTAACATGTGATATTTGCCCCAAAACAATAAAACTACTTCTAAAATCCATGTATCACTTACACATCCAAAATATATCACCCAAATACAACTTTACTTGCTATTTGGCAATAAAGTCAAATAATAATATTAGTTTAAAAAAAATCTCTAAACTTCAAACAACTATCTTGACATCAAATGAAGAAATCATAAACATTTTCGAAAAGATGCCTACTCTACCAAAAATAGGTAATAGATCAAAGATAGCAAATAAAAACACAGCCACCTCCCTGTATAATTAGACTTTGAAAGCTTTCAAGCTTAATTCTTAAATCCTGTTTAAAACTGTTTCTAAGCCACACCTATTTCTCTTTTTTAATTCCCGTTCTTTTTTTATTTCATTTAGCAAGAAGTTTCAAGCATCAAATGAATTGTTGGATTAAGTGACCTTCCAACCTTAAGAGTCAACTTAAGGCTACTTATACTGTTTTCTAAAGTACTAAAATGTTTCCAAAATTATCTACAACAAAGTTTTGTCTGCCTTTACATTAAATTATAACATCACATATTTAAAACTTAAGTCAAGAATGAAAAAACTAATATTGACTCACTGATTTAATAGTGTTATACATAATGATGCACTGAATTAAAACAACACTGAGTAAAACTGCCTTTAAAGCAAACTTATTTTTAGAAAAATTTCAATGCCTGATCTTTTGTCCATAAAAAGAGAGAGAGGCATGGAAAAAAATATACTGCATTTAAATTCAAATGGGTTTTTCTGGAGATGTGAGTTCACATTAAAACTGAATTCTCCCCAAAGCTACATCAATTAAAAAAAAAGAAAAGAAAACCTCCCTTTAGAACTATTATCACTTTGCTCCTTAAGTTACTAGACTAAAGCCATGCTTTAGTAGTCTTCCTCCTTAATAATCATTAGTATATACAGAATTCAAATTAGCTATAAAAAATGAAATGTGAAATTCAACTTCAAAGGTAGTGATACCAAAATAATGTCCAATTTTTAATAAAATATAATAATAATCAAGAATATCATAATAGTCAATGGAAAATAAGGGTTTAGTTACTACTATTTATATTTTTTAAGGCAAAAGTAAAAGCATTTCTGAGATGTCAAGGAAAACAACTTTAAGTCTGACTGCTTTCTAAGAAATAAGAATCTAAAAAAAGAAAAAGAAAAATTCCCCTATTCTTAAAGATTTCCAATGATAATTATTATTGAAGCCAAATCCTAGAGGTTCATTCATTTGTTCTGG